TAATAGTAAAGTGCGTTGAGATGACGTGTTGTGAATTTGGTGCTATATAAATAAACTGAATTGAATTGAATTTATTTCAACATGGTCAGGTAAATCGAAGTAGTTAGAGCAAAAAAAAATGTCTTCAAACTCCAGTGGATTGTTGTTGTTTTTTTTTACTTTTTTGGAATGACTATGACCTGGATGACTGAGAATCTTCACCAGTAACCAAACAACCCTTAAATGTAGCCATTATCACAGCTTATTAGGAAACAAGTTTCATCTTTTTCATTGCTGTCTCACTTTTCCCCCACTCCTCCTTACAGAACTGTTTTGGTTTGCATACTTTACAGCGTTTCTAAGCATAAAAGAGGTGTTTAAGATTTCAGTGGAATTAGTCCAGTCTTTGACTAGGCCACTATGGATCAGTCATCCATTCATCATAACTGCTATCTCCCAGGCTCCCAGGGAGTTTTGGGGCCAATCTCCTTCATGCTATTAGGTGAGAGGCAGAGTAGACCCTGGACAGTCTACCTGTCCATCACAGGGTAACATAGAGACAAACAAGAAGAACAGTAACGTAAAGTAATCTACCAATCATGTTTTAGGACTGCGGGAAGAAGTCACAGTACCTAGAACTGACATGCAAGGGGAGAACATGAAAACTCTGTGCAGAAACATTTCAGGACATATTTGCTGTAAGGAAATGTTGTTTTCTTTTTTGTTTTTTTAGCCCTTTAGCTCCTGGTTTGTTTTAGATCATTGCTTTGCTGCATAACTCAACCGTGTTTGGGTTCAAAGTCACAACCAGTTATTTTGCTAGAAAGAAAAATATACAAATCTAACATATAACATCTATAATAACTTGTTCAGATTCTGATGCAGCAAGGCAGTATGATATTCTATGTTTTTAGATGTACACCAGATGTAATGGATAAAACACATTCTTTGAAAATGCGAGTTAAGAGTTTCTCTACAATATTTTTTTTTCTGCTTCAGACTCTATCAGTGCCTTTTCTTCCTCTTGTCTTTTTCCTCTCAGTGAGACTTGCAGTGCTCTAGATGTTGTTCCGTGTCCCAAAGTGACCCTCTGAATCGACTTTGATGTACTTTTAGAGAAGTCTAGTTAGCCAAGCCACTCCATTAATGGAAAATTATCCCCATTGTTTTTCTCTGTGACCCTTTGTTTAGACAAGTCTTGCAGTGATCTCATGGTTTGGGTACATTGAAATTGAACCAAAGATATAAATCATAGGGAAAGTTGTCATAATATGTTATTCATCTTTTTAGAGTTTTTTTTCCCTGAGAAATTCAATTTCAAAAATTGCATTTTAGGTTATTTTGGTATGATAGAAACAAAAGGGGACAAAAATTGCAAATTCCTTAATTAAATTCAAAAAATTTGATTTCTTGCCCTGTGTGCAAGAAAAAATGTTTTATTTTAGCACTAAAGAACCAGATCAGAAGCCAAATGTTACCAATAAATGCAATATCAAAAATATCTTTTCCTTCATTCTACCTGTTGGTTTAATATCATGGATTGATAGAAGAGTTTCAGTATATAATGTTATGCTTGTTAACTTAGCATGAACAATTTCAATATATTCAGATTTAGATTAATGGAGTTCCCCAATTCCTCCCTAATATGATGAATGAGAAGCTGTTTCCTCCCCCCCTTTGTTTGTAGAAAGATTAAAATGAAGTGTGAGTTTTTATTCTTTCTATTCATTAAGTGAGACTTCAGTATGACAACACTGGCCAAATAAGAACACAGAAGGCTTCCAAGTGATTAAACAAAACAAAAAAAAACTTGTGAAAGTGGACTTTTGGCTTTAGAGCAAGGGACACTGGAGTCGGACTGATGAGGAGGAGGGAGGATGAGAAAGAAAATGAGAAGAGCAAAGAGGCAGGCTTTGCCTTTTCTGGTAGTTAAAGTTGCTGAAAGTACAAACAGACTTCTTTTCAGCTGCAGAAGAGCTGAGATACAAACCAGATTGTGGAGGTTGATGTATGACAAGGGAAAAGAGGCCTTTGCTTATGGACTAAATTCATAGCTGCTAAGGTATTGTAAACTAACGTGCACTATCGTTTTATCTCCTGCATATATCAGTAAGCTGACTTTGGTGGTCTGTGTGTTGGATGTTTAATATATAAGTAGCTGTTTGTGTTCCGTTAAATGAATTCCTATATTACTGCAAAATTACCTACTATAGCAAACATTTAATAATTATTTTTTAACAAAAGTATTCTGGAATAAATATTGAACATGCATGCATCATATTTGTGTGTTTCAGTAAGAAAGTGAGGAGAATCCTTGGGGCAACATGGATGATGACTTTGACCGCCGCATGGAGCTAAGAAGGCAGAGGAGAGAGCAGATGCGTCAGGAAGCAGAAAAGTAAGTAAACCCTCAAAAAGATGTGGACACATGATACTGGTCTTTAAAAAGAAAATTAAATGATTCATGTTGTAACATTTAAATTTTATGCATAGTGAAAAAAATTGCACAATGTTTGCTTGATATTTCGGCCTCACTGCATGCTTTTTATCACATTAAGCATTCTGCTGGAATAATTGGGGCGGAAATGTTTTGAGGTTTTTGGTCCCAAAAACAAAAGCATCATACTACAACCTCAAGAGATTTGTTTTAATCAACCTCTATTTAACCAAGTAAAAACATCCATTGACACCAAGGTCTCTTTTACAAGGGTGACATTACCAACAGCACACTGTCCATAAACACAAATTGCAATTTTACATGTAAAATGCAATTTGTGCAATGCGGCCTCGACAGATGGCCGCACATACTGACCCTGGTTCTGCTGGAGGTTTCTTCCTGTTAAAAGGGAGTTTTCCTGTCCACTGTCACCACAAGCATGCTTGGTGTGAGGGATTGCCTTTGAGTTAATGAGTCGATGTAATCAGCTGTTTTTCCTCACAGCTTTGAACCAGTCTAACTGTATGATGTAGTTGAGTTCTCTCTGTGAAGTGCCTTAAGAAGACGTGTTGTGAATTTGCACAATATAAATAAGCTGAACTGAATTGAATGGTTCAAACAAGATTCGACAGAACAGCTGTGTTTTCAGTGAAATGGTCTCCCACCTACCCTATAAGCAGTGTGGGTAAGCTTTGCCAAACACTGTTCGGAACTAGATACCACAGTAAAAAGATATCAGTATGAAAGAGCATTTGGCTCAGTAAAGTTAAGCATTATCTTTGTGTTTTAGTGTCATGCATTCTTTACACAACAATGCAAGCAAATTTTGCCCAGTGGGAATATTGGAAATCTACAATATTTGACCCAAGATGCAAGGTTGCTTTATATTTTACATGATAATCTCTGTGCTGTAGCTCTCTGCAGACAATTTACATAATTTAAACATTTTTAACAAACACGATGCAGGTTTAAATGTTCTCTCATGTTTGTGATACTATGGTGCTTGGATGATGTAATTTATACTCTATACTCCTTTGAATCTAAAAGTAAATTTCAGCAACAGCTAGCTCATTCATAATTTTCTTGCTGCAGAGCTTTAAATCAATCAATCAGTTCTTAAAGTTGCAGGCCTGCAGTATATTTTTTTACTTTTTTAAAGGTTTGAATTAAAGATAAAATTGTTTTGACAAAGGCTGCGATTGAATCAATTGACTTGTTTCCATATCAGAAGCAATCCGGTGCCAAAGCCCTGGCAAAGAAGGGATTGCTTGCTATTTTCTCACAGTCATCCTGCCAGTTCCTGCTCATCGCCCCCCAGCCACTTGTTTTCACTTCTTTCTAAATGTGGCAGACACTGGAATGTTTTGACTGTCTTTCTATTTCAGGACTCAGTGACCTGCTCTAGTACTTTGAACCCCTTTTAGTAGTTTTTGCTCTCTACATCCCTTTATCCGTAACACCAAATAACACTCATATATCTGTTTACCTTATATCTCCTGCCTCCGTGGTCAGAAACATCAATGTTAGCAGATTTTGAGCCTTTCTGTGTAAATAGAGCTTTTAGTTTTAGGGAGTTTAACATCTTATTAAGTGACTCAACAATGAGAGGAAAGGAAGAAAAAAAAACACAAAATAAGAAAAAGGAACATGAAAAGGTTCATTTCACTGTTGCTTTCAGTTTTAATAATTTTTTCAGCTTATTTAGGTCCAAACATTTTTTTGTTTATAAAAAGGCAATGGCTCTGGTTTCTTCATCGTATTGTCTTGTTTTGTTTTCCAGGAAAAGTCCAGAAAGATTTTGTTCAATTCCTTGGAGATTTACTGATCTAATAAATAAATGAATTCACAGTTCAAAAAAACTTTTTCAAATTTTTTCTATTTATGGTGTTTTTTGTAAATATGTCTGTTAATGTTTTTTTTGTTTTTTTTAGGGGGGTTTACACTAATGATGACGATGAGGAGGAGGCTCGGGAGCGAAGGAGACGTGCGAGAGAAGAAAGAAAGAAAATGAGAGACTTGGAGGAGTCCGGAACGACGGATGTGATCAGTAATAACAAGTATGAGACAGTTACACCAGAATCCTCATTTCAAGTTTTAAATGGATCCATGAAAAGATAACTTACTTTGAGTTTTTCCAGAGTAACTTTCAATGTTTAATTAGTTGAGCGATGAAACCTCTTCTTTTTCAGTCATGTTAACATTTTTAAAAACACTCTTATTCTAATACAAACAGGCAGAGTATATTTTATTCAGGTTTCTACTGAATCATTACCTGTATTAGCGTTACAATCTAAGCTACACCAACATTAAAACCAACTAGGAACAATCACTACAGCAGTCTACT